ATCCCTCTCCATCTTTTGCTTTATCATTTGATTTGTGTACATTGCGAGCTTGGCAGCGATCAGTGAAGCTCGCTTCACTGTATCTCGCCGTACGATGATGATGATGATCAGTCGACCGCTCCAAACTCTGGCACTGCCATTCCCTGGAGGGTGTACCCGAGAAGTTTCTTTCAATACTACGATCCCTTTACACTAATAGCCAAAGTCGAATTTGAGCTTACGGCACCTTTTTCGCCCGATTTCACCACAGAACGTGGTGTTCGACATGGTTGCTCTCTATCCCCTCCCCTCTTAAACTCTGTTATAGATTTCGTTATGAAAACAACCTTATCCTCGTGCGAGGATAGCGGTATCGATTTGTTCCCAGATAGTAAACCGCCTGTTCTAGAGTACGTAGACGACGTTGTGCTGCAAAGTGAAAACCCAGGTAAGTTGCAAGCTTTTCTGAATAGTTTGAGTGCCAGCTTAGCCATGTTCGGTATATGTTCTGCATTTTTCAAATGTAAAATGTTACTACAAGACTGGGTTGATCCAGCACCCAGTCTCACTTTAACTGGCAAAGTAATAGAGCGAATGGATAAGTTTTGCTACTTGGGAAGCCACATCTCACCCGATGGACTCATTATGGATGAAGTGTCAGCTCGCGTACAGAAGGCTCGGTTGGCATTTGCTAACTTGATATATCTGTGGCAACATCCGGCTGTCTGTTAAGGGTAGAGTTCATGCTGCGGTAGTCAAGCCAGTTCTTCTCTACGGCGCAGAAACTTGACCATTAAGAAAACAGGATAAAGATAAACTGTCGGTGTTCTAACACCGCTGTCTACGCAGCATCGCACGAATCTGGTGGTTCAGCCGGACGAGCAATGCTGAGGTTAGGCGTAGAGTTTTAGGTAAATGCGGTCGCCCATTGGAGCAGGTGGTCGACCTCCATAGATTACTTTGTTTGGGGCATGTGTTACGCATGTCACCAAATAGGTTGCCATGGCGAGCGATATTCGCCGAGGCAGGTAGTGGGTGGAAGAAAGCCAAGGGTGGTGGTGGGTTCGCCAACCTCCGATGTTGCGTATCAATCGGGACAGTCTGACTGTTCCGCTGCGAAGGCTATTTCCATTTTCACTAGCAATTTCGGCCCACCAGTTTCCACGATCTTTCTTAAGTTTTTTTAAGTTCAAGTTGTAAACTCCACTTGTTCCTGGATTTCTATTGGTAACCTATGATATATCGCTTTCGTTCCACAAGGGCTATTGATTGCTGAGAGTTCTTGTATTGACTCCGGGCTTAGATCCGCTAGTATAGTTGGTTGCCGAATCCATTGCTTATCTAATTTTCTTCCTTTGTTTAGCTATATCGCATTTTCGGTCTCATACAGGAGTCTTTCCTCATAACCGATGCAAACTGGGTCACACAGACGATGGTGAGCTAGCCGAGGTTGAGATCTTTAGTGAAGACCAACGAATCGAACAGTAAAAGGTATCCGAACACGTGCGTGAACGCATCCAATGCAGGTAGTCTAATACGACTTTTAGTCTTTTATTGCGCGACGCCAGCGATGGCTAACCGCACCTCAGGTCACCTTAACTGTTGCATTAGAGCACCATTTTATCGAGAGTGGTGTCGAACATTGGTCCTGGATACAAACAACGCATGATTTAAGCAGAACTAAAGTAGTCAATTGCTATTGTTCCTTGGGTGGGCAGATCAACATGCCTTCTGAAACGGGCTTGGGTTTTCCAACTTCTTTCATAACATCACCTGTCAACAAAATGATGTTAACTTAGGCTTAGGTGAATGAACAAAATTTCAGGCAAACAATTGTTTTCATTAACCCATAATCATGTCGTTACACTTTATATGCGAGGATAAAACCTAGTTTTTGGGGGGAGTAACATTAAAATGTGAGGATTCGCCCACTTTATGTATGTGTTTTTTACACACCCGATTCTCAGATCTATGCTTCCAGAGTTCTCAAATATGCTACTTTGGTCGTGTGACCCGGTTCTGGGGGATCGATGTTAGTGTGTGAAATATGTGTGGGCAGTGGGTAGGGATGCGTTCTCCAGTAGAGATGAAGATCTTGGATAAGATGCTTCTGGGCACTTAGTTCGGGAGTCAAATGTTTAATAAATATGGCTTCGACTACGGCCAACGTATGCACTCTAATCGGTTCCGGGGAACCTGATAAATAATGCGGAATGCTTCACCTGGGTTAACACGATGGTCAGTGCCTACCAAGTGGGCGAGAATCGCACCCGTGATGGATCGGAATCACCGTGACTCAGCCAGCGCGGATGGTGTTCTTTCATGCGGATAGATAACTGCCGTGCCGTACAAATTAGAGTGCGTCACAAACAAATTTGGACGAGTAACATATCATTGAAGCGGTCAACATTGGGAGTTTATCTTTTTCCGCATGGTTATCACTGATTGAGTTGAACTCTTCCAGCAGTTAAACCACTTCGCAGTTCGAGTCAGCTATGCAAAATGTGGTCTACAAACTGCGAATAATTATGAAGACTATTAATGGTCCCTTTCAAATGATTGTTCTCCATTATCGCCATAAAAAATCTGCCTGGTTGTGATCCCATTGCTACTCCGTCCTTTTTGTCGGTAGACCGTTCCGTTGAAAAGAAACTGAACGTTATATATACACCAAAAGCAGAGTTCACATAACGCTTTTGTGGGTATCCCCAAGTTAATGTCGGTATCATTAAAATGTTTCATGATGAACTTGATGGTTTCCACTGATTTGATATCCAGGGACGGCACCACCTTGTATGACACGTCTATATCTCGTATTTCTTCAATAAACTGGAACGTATCCTTCAAACTATATGCCGATAATCGTTTCGTTTCGAGTTCAAGGATTTCTGCAAACCCTTCATCGACAGAATGGTATGGAGTAGCAGTGGGATTGCCACCAGGACCCGTTTTGGCAGATTTTTTACGGCGATGCTGGAGAACAATCAGTTGAAAGGTACCAATAATACTCTTCATAAATATTTCCGGTTCATAGACCACAAGTTATGCATAAGTTGTCCAATAGGAAGTCAGAGATTGGAAAATGGAGCAGAGTCAGGACTGAGGGTGGAAGATATTGGATTAAACAAATATGGGAAAGGTTGAACAGTAGCTCACTTAATAATACTCACTCCGGTATATGCAATGGACAACGTAGTTCTGATTAACCTGCTGGAGGTCCACGGGATATTGACTTATTTTCGGTTCGTGTTCACGCGGGCCTCATGGACGACCACCACCTACGAGTTCAACCACTAATCCAAAACTAATCAGCTTTCTCAAGCAAAGCCTTAAGTTCTGACAGTAAGCTGACTGTATGATATCAGAGAAGGTTAAATATCAAAGGATATATTTGGATCGAGGTTCCATTATTTTTGTTGATCGAAATGCTAACTGTAGTAAAAAAAATCAACTTAGAAGACCAGGGGACTAGAATACCTAACATCTACTGTTTGATATTCCGTGTGTGATTATTTCTTTGGTTTGACAAAGTCATTCTGCATAGCTGGTAGAGCTACAGAGGTGCTAACTGTGTAGACAGCGTGGATGGCTTATCACTCTAGCCTACCTTGACAACTCATGATTTTGGTATGTGATTCAGACCACGATCTTTCTCCGCTTATGATTCTGTTGTTTCTGACCAAATTTTAATGATCGTATAAACTGCAGTATACACGTGTACAGATGCAGTAAAATGACCCATGATACAATGTGCAAATTTGTGTTTTTGGCTTTTCGATTCAAATTCGTTAAGGGGAACCGTGCTTCCAATTCAAAGAACAACCCATTTATGAAGGATATATAAAGTATAAAGAATAAAGAAGGCGATTGAGGATGTACGGATGAATCAGGCATGTCGTCTGCAGGTGATATTTTCTGAGAATGAAATACGCCATTTGTGTCTGGAGCCTTACTCGGAAGCCAGGCGTAAAATAGTTGACCAATTAACTCGATGATGTAGATCGTTTCAATGTTCGTCACATCCTTGGTGAGAGCTGCTATGTGATCTGGACTGATTATTGGTGCTTACTGCGTTTTCCTGGTTATCTTCAACCTGTCCTCTGCGAATGTTATACGAAACTAGCATAATGAACATCAGAGATCGACTACTTTGCTTTCGCAATTGAGTGTTCCAAGAACTACATTTGGCCGTTTTAGACAGTCAGTGGACTGCAGGTTGCAACAGCTAAATGGAACGCAAACTGGAAATTCGGAAACAATCATTCGCGTCTCCCTCTCTTGTCCCTTGTTATGGTGTTTGAAAATCATAATGAATTTTTGTTACAATATTTTTTTCAATAAATTAGTTTTCATGGTGTCATACAGTTGTGTGAAACAAAAGTATTAAAAATGAGATATCGCATCAGTTTCTTCTTGATCCCTTTGGCCAATTATGTACATGTATATAAAGTGGTGTATTGCCATGACTACAAATCCTTTGAGACAGTTTATTTTTCCGAGGTGCTTTTCATACACAGGGACTTATCGTTGACCCGGATGGACGCCATCTCGGGCTCGTAAGTGATCTGGTCCGCGAGAAAACCAAGAGACCATGTATCGCTGTTATTGGGGCAACCACGGCTCTAGAAGTAGCTTGGAAACACTTTACGGAGGCCACCATCGGTGCCACAGACATGATCATCGCAAATGAAGTCAAGCGACTGCTCTCGGTAGGTCATTAAGTAAAGTTTCCTTTATTTTATTCCTTTTTCACGGAACCGTGTATGTATGTATGTATGTATGTATGTATGTATGTATGTATGTATGTATGTATGTATGTATGTATGTATGTATGTATGTATGTATGTATGTATGTATGTATGTATGTATGTATGTATGGATGGATGGTGAGTGAACAGCAGTCAATCTATCCTTTTTGACATGTTTATTTATAGTTAGGGATATAAAAGTAAAATTGTTCAACTCATAAGAGCATTCTCACACTTGTTGTTGTATCCTTCTATCAAGATCTGGTAAACTTGCTGGGCGGTGGTGGCCAAGTAGTTAGGTCACCAACTTGTGACTTGGGAGTTCCGGGTTCGAATCGCTCCGCCACCGCCCATCTTCCCAGGCAGCCTTTGTGTGGCTGCGGCCCCCTTCCTGAATGTTGACTGTACATTTGTATATTCAATAAATAAAAAAGGAAGTAAAAAAGACATTCACATTCATTCACTACGTATGTATAATCTGAGTAAGCTGCATGATTTTCTAGGCAGCTCAACCATTCGTTTTTATGTTTGATGCATGTTACACATATTCACAGTGGATCATTCTGCCTCAGATTCATCCCCGATTGTATGTTTTCTTGGAATTTATTGAGATGCATTTACGTGTTTAATTATTTTTAGCTCAAATCATGCAACCCGTTGTAGCCTTATGTGGCTCTCCATATTAAACCACAAGGTTTAAGTTTTTATGTTTGCACTACATTGCTTCCTCGTGTCCACGGATTTTAGTTCTGTTGTTGTTGCAACAGTCAAAAGATCCAGTTTAAGCCCCATCTCAGGCCTAATAGGTTGACAAGTTTTGTGAGACCGATAGGGGACATCCCTCTATTGTTTGGTCTGCTCTTTTATCTGTTTTCCGATGAGCTGATTTGCTGTGGACTGTTGTCGTGCTCCGGCAAACCGCTTGATAGGCAAGCTAAATCAGTTTGAGGGTAGCTGAGGCATTTCAGCCAGACAGTATTCTGCTACGGTGCAGCTTGCATCTGATTGTGCAGAGGAAATATGTAGGTGCAACCTAAGCAAAGGGAGCTTATTGGTGCTCTGTACGCCATTTAGTGTCGTGTTGCTGTGACTGTTCCATTGATATCTAGATAAAAGCTTGGCACACGAGTGAACATGATGAGGTCTGTCATGAAAATCCTAAACCGACTCTTTGTCCGTGAAGCCCGGCCTTGGCATCACGATTGGATCGCCATATGCTTCCACCCCATCGCGAACTACCGCACTTGGTAAACCTGCCACCTAAAATATCCAACAACCTCCCCGTGTGCCATTTCCAGTTCGATTTGAGAAACTGTCTTGTGGAATTGAGAAAGAAACGCTGCGGCTGATTTTGCTTCCGTTCAGCGCAACTCATTGGCCAATTAATCGCATGTTTCTCTACCCCCTGATTAACATTCTGCGCTGAACTGACGAAGAGGTTAGTCTTGCATGTTGTGTAGCTCGCTGACGGACGTCCTTTCGGTGGGTCGGTGAAACCGTTCGATTTTCGCGAGACAGTTAAGCTGGACCGAACGCGATAAGTATGAAGGGTGGCTCACTGTTCCTTGCGCGCTACAGTTAAAACAGAACTGGTTGTGTTTCTCCTCATCATTGAAGTACCGCCAGGTAATAACGACGTAAAAGATTAACTATCTCATTGTGTTGTTAGTCCAACCGCCTTTGATGGAACGGATAGATATAGGAAACACCCAGTTGTACTCTTACAAGTGGTTGCATTTGGTTACCGGCGTGGACTACTAAGTGATCCAACTCAACTATCAGATATGGCATACAAATCACACTGGTGTTAGAAGTGTATCGAAAAATCGATGCGCCATGGGTTGTGTTTTATTGTAAATATTATGCTGTTATTAACACAACGATGTCGGTAGAGAATTGTGTTCGCCGACGTTTCCGTTACCATGGTTATTCTTTCTCAAGTCAGGTTTTATAATCAAATGACTCCAAGGAAAGGATTACAAGTCAACGAATGTTTCATCGTGTGTGTGGGTGGGTGAATTCTTGTGGTGGGCTGAATGATTCGTTGTCTATCATACTAACTCCCATTATCAGATGGGGTCTAGTGGCATCGTAATTATTGTCGCGATTACCCGTTATGTTTACCCGTGATGTTAGGAATCTCGATTCCGTCGTTTCTGTTGACGCATACAGAGTGGGTGCCAATGGCCAAAGCCTCGGCACACGAACGTTCAGTGCATGTTCGAAATCCGAGTGGAATTACTTTCGGATTATAGTAGTCTATGGTGTGACCTTCGGCCATGGCGTGAAGAACGATCGTTGAGTCTCGTTGTAGTTTTACCAGAGTTGCCTTTTCCGTAGGCCGGTGTTTTTCTTTTTCCTTACAGTCTTCTATTCTTGTCTCGAGTTGTGGCTATTGTTCTGTATTCTGTAGGGCATTCTTTACAACTGATTTTGTAAATTCAGTTATTTTGATGTTTTAATTCGACCGGATCTTTGTCTTTCACGAGATGGCGTTTCACATTGCTGTCAACCCGATATAATGTGTGTGTTGAAATCTCCGAGAATCTTTCTGATTGCTTCTGAAGTGCCTGATCTGTATGGAATGCCAATAGAAGCTATATGATCTTTTTTGTCTTCAGATTGCTCCATTGGTTTGTTCACTTCTAGTTGGTATCTTACCAGGAGTGGGGGACGATGATTATCTTCTAATACTTTATTGAGGCGTTAAATTTCCAAATGGCGGTCATTGTCTTCATTACAGAGCCTTTTAACGAATTATTCAGCTCACCACACGGATTCACAAGCACACACCACGCCACGCATACACAAACATACATACACACACACACGACGAAACATTCATTGACTTGTGATCCTTGTCTCGGAGTCACTTAGTTGTAAAACCTGCCTTGAGAAAAGTCAACCACGGTAACCGAAATGCCGGCGAATATAATTAGCTATCGACATCGCCATTATTAACATCATAACATTCACAAGCGAATCACACTGATTTGAAGTAGCTTGAATAAACGTATCGGTGAAGTCTGAGCACTGAAGTTCTGAATTTACCGGTTGGCTCAGCTCTCCATAACTTGTTATCCAGTGGTGATTCTCTACATCACGAACATCCACGAACAAGGACGCACAAATCTGGTATCTTCAATTTATCTGACTAATTCACTAGATAACTAGCTAACTAAGGTTGTTCATTAACCAAGAAAATAAATAAATTTTTCAGTAATTATTTTCGTTCTGTTCATAAACGTCACTGTCTTCTCATTCGGAACATTGCACGCATTGCGCTGTCGTTCAATCTCAAGTAAATAAGTATGTAGAGATGTAATTAAGTGAGGTAATGAAAGGAATTCGAAACAATATCACTGAGTGCTTATGGCCAACCGAAAATTTATTTTTTTAATATTTTACTTCCCACTATCGAAGTAGATACTGTTTTACAACAGCTTAAAAAACCACACTTGATCCGAAATACCATCATTACGTGAACAGAAACCATGTTCGTATGTCGAGATTGTGAAAAGTTCAGTAGCCTCGGTGGGATTCGAACCGACGCATGGACACCGCCTACGGCGTATGCTCTACCAGCTGAGCTACGAGGCCACGTGGCCTCTGATTGCCCTGAGGAGAACATTTTCGACGTTCTCTGTTTGAGTGAATCTCAATGGTTGCTCAGGTCCACACCGTCAGCGGCAGGGGTATTGCAAATATCTTCAAACTAGCACGTTGAGTATCGGAGATCGACGACATTGTTTTCGCAGCTGAGTGTTTCAAGAACTGCATTCGTCATCCTGTTTGACTGATTACGCCTTCAGGGTCCCCTTGAAGGAGGCTGGCATAATTGTCAGTCGGATCCCGCTTGGCTTTACCCTTAAGCAAGCTCCATATATATTCAGTAGGATTGAGCATTGACGATTATGGCAGAATCTTAAGTGGCTTGGTTTACACTATTCATGCTCACGGGACACCTCCATTCTGTTGTGGCAAGGAGCAGCGTCACACACGACAGTTACCTGCGTAATAGCTACCGTTTGTTTGGGTTGGTCAGTGACTGCACAATTCACTTCGTGCCCCGGTCCACCTGTTACTTTTAGCCGTGGTTTTAGTTACTATGTTCACCTTTGGCAATTGAGCTATCATCCGGGCGACTACATTGATCGTGTGATCCAAACAGGTGCATACGTGTAATACCAAGATACGGCAGCGCTGATGAGGACAAATACGACCAGTTGTGCCTTGACTGTGGCGCGCAGTGAACAGTGCGTCACCCTTCATGCTTATTGTGTTCGGTCCAGCTTAGCTGTCTCGCGAAAATCAAATTATGTCCGTCAGCGAGCTACACAATATGCAAGACTAACCTCTGCGTCATTTCAGCACAGAATGTTAAGCAGGGGGTAGAGAAACGTGCGATTAATTGGCCAATGAGGTGGGCTGAACGGAAGCAAATCCAACCACAGCGTTTCTCGATTCAACGTGACAGTTTTTCAAATCGAACTGGAAATTTTATAGGAATATATAATCTTGCCCAAAAATGAACGACCTCAGGCGTTTTACCTTTACAAAAAATGCTTGTCTGCAGATATTTATATAGTCTGGTTCAGCGCGGAATAATACACCTGTTTCTGCACTACATTTCAGCCCTTTGATTTAGCCGTTTTCCTTCCCGAAAATTTCTTGTGCAATCGTGTCTCCATCATCATCGCACAGCGGAATACAGTGACGCAAACTTCAGTAATCGCTTCCAAATCATGTATTCAATAAATAAAAGTAAACGGTCAAGGAACGGATAAGCAACGATGAATAGAACGGTAAAAGTAGTCCGTAACCTTACAAAACGCTATAAAAAGCTTCATTGGTATCGTGGTCTGAGACGATTGTGTTGTGGCTGGGGTCTATGGGACCTGTTCAACGTGTTTTTAAACCAAATACGATAAAGCCCATTTTTGCGTTCCTGCACATAAACA